CTCATATGTTCCAGACCCCTAATCATTTTTGTTGCCCTTCGCTGGACTCTCTCCAAATTATCCACATCCTTCTTGAAGTGTGGGGCCCAAAACTGGACACAGTACTCCAGATGAGGCCTCACCAATGTCGAATAGAGGGGAACGATCACGTCCCTCGATCTGCTCGCTATGCCCCTACTTATACATCCCAAAATGCCATTGGCCTTCTTGGCAACAAGGGCACACTGCTGACTCATATCCAGCTTCTCGTCCACTGTCACCCCTAGGTCCTTTTCCGCAGAACTGCTGCCTAGCCATTCGGTCCCTAGTCTGTAGCTGTGCATTGGGTTCTGTCGTACCGGCTCACACCTCCTGGTACTGTCGATGGCCGGTGATGTGTTCGATGTAGATATCCCTGGACCATCAGATGGTGTCCGAGACCATGAGACGCCGCATGAGCTGTGCGTAGCGTTGACCGATCCCACAGGTCCACAGCACATGCTCGTTGCAGCGGTCCCAAGCGCCCAGGGCTCCGACGATCAGGGCATCCATCTGCACCTCGTAGCCCTTCGCTCTCAAGGTGTCGGCCAGGGGGGTGTATTTTTCCAGCTTACGAGCTCGGCCTTCGCGGAAGGCTGGGGTCCTGTTCTCGAAGGAGACCGTGATGTCAACGAGGATGATCTTTTTCTGGGCCTCGTCGGTGACTACCATGTCAGGTCGCAACTGGCTGTCAGTACCGGGGATGGCGCAGTTCATGGAGACCTCCCCCAGGCGCGGCGCGATGGCTTTCACCAGAGGGTTCTGGATGGTGTTGTGGCGCAGCTGCCAGGCTCTGGAGTGGGGTAGGGTATGGTTGGAGTAGCCGCACGTCCTGCAACGCTTGTCTCGGTTCCCATGGCGGACGGCTCCGTTGAGCGGGACGCAGTTGAGCCGGGCGTGGTGGATGAACCACCAGTCGGCGAAACTACTAAAGGTTCAAATTTGTTCTTTAATGTGTTGTTGCACAGACATCTCCTCTTGGAGCAACATGTCTTTCAGTACAAGTAAGATGACAAATCTATGGTTCTTTTAAAGACTATTTTAACTCTATTGAGGTAATTCTTTCCTTTGGGACTCTAGACTCAAGTAGATGTCAATTAAGTTGAATTTTTGTGTTGTTGTTGTTATGTTTTATAATGAACATGGACTCAGATGAACTTTTAATATTAACAATGTCTCCCCCTACCTCCCCACCAATGCACTTATGGTCAGAAAAACCTGTCTATGACATCTTCAGTCTATGTACAGTCATCTCTGCTTATCATGGTGACAAGGAGAGTTTTTACTTAAACTTAATTTTTGTTAATTTTGCAGAGTATGGTTATACTCTTACTGCAGAGTATTTATTATTGGTGAAGATGGAGACCTAGAAAGAATCCATCTTGGCCTTCGGAGTGTCTGGTGGCTATAGTTAGAAAAAAATTCTTGATTTGACTTAATTAAAATGTAGTAATTGTTTAACAGCTAACAATGGATACCTAGTGGAACAAGCAACCGCAACTGTACTTTGTAATATTCCCTCACCTGTTGCCCAGTGTCATCTCTCCCCCTGTGATGTCTCATTCAACACATTTTAAACACCACGTGGCAAAAGTCTGTCTGTTCTCCAGATAAAGCAGTAAGAATGCCTCTGGCATTATACTAGTCAGGGATGGTCTAGGCAAGCTTGGTCCTACCACAGTGAGATGGATTAGGTAACTTCATGAAGTCCCTTCCAGTCATACATGTCTATTATTCTAATACCTTTGCTTGAAAACAAAGTACTGAGCATTCTCTCTCTCTCTCTCACAGACTCAGAGCTAAAAAATGATTATGGGGTTGAAAAGGAATTTTCCCCCAGGTCAGATTGGCAGTGACCTTAAGGACTTTTCACCTTTCTTTGCAGAGTTTGAGTATGGGTTACTTGCCAGGATTATCTGGGTATACAATTTCTCTGCCATTGCAGAGATCTCCGGCATTGATGCTCTCGGTCCCTCCTATTCTCAGTTTGTGGCATATAATTGTCTAGTCTCCTGTAGGTTGTAATACTTTGGTCTAATTTCAGTTGTTGGGTTTAATGTGAAGGTGCTGGATGACACCGAGGGCCTGTGCAATACAGGAGGTCAGAGTAGATGATTGGGTGGTGCCTTCTGGCCTTAAACTCTATGACTAAGGCCTGACCTAATTTCCTAGTGTAGACCAGTATAATAACGGCACTCAGGGGTGTGAAAAATTCACACCCCATAGCGACACAGTTAAACCAAGCTAGCCCCCTGCGTAGACAGTGCTAGGTTGATAGAATTCTCCCATCAATCTAGCTACCGTCTCTTGCAAAGGTGGAGTACCGATGTCTATGGGGGAACCCCTCCAATCAGCATAGGTACAATCTTCACTTGAGTGCTACAGTGGCACCGCTGCAGAGTTTTAAGTGTAGACAAGTCCTCAGTAGCAGATAGAGAGTCTGATAAAGGAAAACAAATTTCCACAATCCCATTGCTACTGAACATAATTATACTTAACAAAATAAATTTAACATAGTCCTTTTCTAGGATTACATGTTTTTTTTTTTTTTTAAATAAAGCAAGGTAGTTATCTAAAGCATCAAAGGAACTGACCAACATGCTGAAGTTAAAGATATCTTCCTATATATAAAGCTGAGTTAAATAAGTGGAGCAGAATTACAGCAAGTAAAACAGACAAATACTTAATATTTCTCATAAAAACTTCAACATGGAAGCTCCCAATAATGCTTCCCCATCATGGCCAGCCCCAAACAGACACATTGACATATGTTGTAAAGACTATATACTTTTCCTATTCCCTTTAAAACTTAGGTGCTCTTAAAGTTTTGCTTTGCCCTTTTTTCAGTCACAGCTTTCTAATCCAATTTAAGCCAATTCATCTCCTTCACATATAGCCTTGTAATTTAATGCCAAACTTGTAATACTCTAATAACCCTTAATTTTCAAAGAATAGGTGCTCAGTACTTGGACAATTACCTTTCTTTCAGGTGTCATGTTTGCCTCAATTTCTGGATGCCCATCACAATCACTAGGTGCTTCTGAAAAATTGGGCCCCAGGTTCTCATCCCGATTCTATCACTGACTTGTGCACTCTCTCTCTGTGCTTCTGTCTAAGCCTTGCAGCAAGCATGGTCCTGTTTCCTCTGTGAGCAGGGTCATACTTCAATTAAGATTGCTGGAAATAACTGATGAGAACACCATTACCATGCACTCCTTGCAAGCCACTTGAAGGATAAGAAACAGCCATAATTCAATACCAACAACTACAAGGATGTAAAAGTTGGAAACCCCAGAGATCGAAGTACAAGATGAAAAAAAATGGCTTCCCAAAACCGAAAATGTCCCTATTCCACTTTTTGTCTTTCCAGCTTGCCATCTTGTTCAGATTCTACCTTTTGCGAATAAAACCATTTACAAGTTAAACAGATATAACAACCACCTCTCTGTAACGGGATGCAAGGAGGATGTAGAAAAGTCGAAGTAGTATATCCTCTCAAAACAAAACAGCTCCCTGCCCTCTGCCCAAACTAACCAACCAACAAACAAAAAACCCCCCAAAACAAACCCAAGTAAGGCCTAAACTGTGTCCATGTCCACTAAGTACTAGTAGTATTGTGAGAAGGGAACCACCTTTCAGAGTCATCATTGTAGTTGCTCTGACCAACATGCTGCCTACTGCCTGAAGGGCAGCATCTGTGTCTGGGTGCTAATGGAGAAGTAACATGCCTGCTCAGTGGCTTTCTGACTCTGTGGTAATCAGGGAAGCTCTCCACAGCTCACTGTAAAAGAAGCTGCACACATTCTTAACAGTTCTCTTGATAGCCAACTCCAGCTGTGGACTCTGAAACTGCTGATGTGGCATGTGTGTAGACTACTCCCATGCAGCAACCATAACGTGCCTAACTTGTTCATTACCGATTTTAATTATTCAGGAACTTACACACTCCCACCTCCAGGCACTGCAGTATCAAACTGCCTTCCAGGTACTGTGTACCATATAGTTAAAAACAACTAAACATTTCTTTCTAGCTGTAGGAGAAATAGCTTGCTTACTTCCTAGAGTTTCATTAATTTGTTTATACAACTGGGTATGTTGTGTTGTTTGAAGACACTAAGGGGAAGCCAAATCAGAAGAACATTTTGCTTTTATTTCTGAAAGCAGCCATGGAACCTATTCACATACCTTATTCTCATGTAACTATGAGCCATGATTCAGTCCTCAGAGCAGCTCATTTTGCACCACTCTGGAAATATATCCCAAGATGGTTTACCCTACCTGCCATCTTTATACATAATTTGTACTTTGGAAAAACGTGTCCATATTGCTATCTCTCCAGAATGCACAACAATGCAAGACAGAAGAAATTAGAAATAGAGATTTGTATGTTAGGTGATTTAAATCTAGCAATGGGATATATCCATTCCCTTAGTGGAGAAACCACTAACAAACACTTCCTTCTACAACAATCTCACACAGAGTAGGAGATTACTTAATTCAGACTTTGAGAAGAGAAATATTGTTGTATCTTTGCCTCTGCTTGGGTTCTTTGGCATACCTGACAATGCTTCTGATTTTTACTGCTTTAACTCATCCAGTGCCAGATTGTTTCTTGGCCTCTAACATTCCAGCCAGAATGAGCTGGCTTGGCTCTCCCTTTAGTTATCACTGCCATGGTTTAATAGGCCGCAGACCTTCAGCTGTCCCTTATCTTCTGTCAGTCCACGAAGAGGCTAGGAATTGAAACCAAAGTATTTGTCTCTAGTAGAGCACAAGGATGCTCTATGTCTCAATTTTCACTATATTAAATGAGTTAGATTCCTGATAGTAGTTTGAAATTCCTGAAAAGCAGCCACTACTCTTAAAAGCCTATGTTCTACATAATTGTATGAATATAAATTTGTATGTGATGTATAATCACTCAAGAGCAAAGACAACCCCACCAAAAGTTGTGTTAAGTTTTACAGATGAATAAAGCTTTATTTAAAAAATGGAAAGGTAGGTTTTGTGCAAAGAATTAGAAGTCCATACATATTTTATAAATCTTTCCAGTTACTTAAACACTTTCATGAACTTCCTGTATAATTTTTTACTTTGGTAATTACAATAAATATTTTGATTGTTAGCAAAACAAATCTTAAAGGCTCTGTATCTTGCTAAACACAGAACGTCAATCCCACATGTTACTGAGAACCTCTGTTAGGAGCTGAATGCTTTCAACTCCCATCCATTTCAGTCACTGCTGTAGATTCTCAGCCCCTTGCAGGACTGGACCCAGAAAACAAAAAAATATAGCCAAATACAAACTACACTGCACTGAACACTAAAAGTATCCGATAAAGCAGCAATGTTACACTCAAAGCAATTTTCTCCAAAGTAAAAAAAAAAGTGTATATATACACACACACACCCATTCCATCTGTTCAAATTAACAGATATCCCCACATAACAATAAAAGTGCAACTGTACACATAAAAATGGCCATATTTACAGACCTGTTATCCCGACAGCTGTTCAAAACTTGAAAAGTTTCTAACAGTTTATTTTCAGTTTAGCTGCAATATTTTTCCTGTTAAACCTCTGAAAGACCACAAGTCTGAAGCCAGACATTTTCATTTTGTTGTAATACAATACACATGTATCAAGAAACATTGCTGGCTAGCACTGTCAAACTTATTGTTTTGCTTTAACTTTTCTTCTTGCATCCTTATGTTTCTTCCGGCATTCCTGGAAATATTAAAATGTTAAATGGCATTAAATCCAGTTTATAAACTCACAAATTGCTCTTTTAAACCTGCTTTGCTTTTATATTTAACAGAAATTAGCCAGCTCTGGCAGTTATAACAAATCAACAGTTTAAGTGGACATAATACACAAATTATATATATTATATAGACAGTTAATTTTTATTTCACAAAACTCCCTGGTCTTAGTAGGATATTAGGCCATTCTGAAAGTCCAAATGATTCATTTTTATTAAAATGAACAAAATAAGCCACTTTTTTTCCACAAGCAACCCCTCCCCTGCCATCATAATGAACTCTCTCAGTTGTTACTGAATTACAGCTTTAATCACTCACCTCAAGTAACAATCTACGTTGGTTTTCCCAATTATCTTTTTCTTCATTGAGGTTTGATGATCTGCGGAACAGCTTAGGACCATCTACACAAGAGATGCATCAGAACAACTTTGAGCCAGGTTAAAACACAACTTAACCATTTTCTTTCTTACAAGCTTTTGTTTGAAAAAATTGTAGTAAAATTATCAATTAATTTGAATTTGTATATGGAAAGTTACCAGGATAAGCTATTTTGAATGTATAAGAGACACATTGTTTTAGCTCAAATTTTAACAACAAACCATTGGTGAAAATATAGACTTGTGTCTGCTTTTTTAGACTGATTCACCTTAAACCCTGCTATTAGCAGTCTATTTATAATGCATCTATCAAACCATGGGGGTGCATTAATCATATATTTTTAAAAAACCCAAACATGTCCCAAGACAATGGAAACTCCACACTAAGCAATCCTTCCAAAAAAGCAAACTTAAGTCACTTTCTCCAATAAGGCTTGGGTAAGCAGAAGAACCTTGCAATTGATACTCAAGGAGATGGCTGGTTTTACAGCCCAAAGTGCCTCAACAGTTTTCAAAATGTAGCTTTTAACATTGGACTTTACATTTTCAAATACTGAAACATTCTAATTAATCCCTATACCACCCCACGTGAATTAAATATTATACTAATATAATTTGTTACAATGCCTCTTTGTTAAATTCCATCATCCTGTAGGAAAAATTTGGATAAGTTCAGTTGTACCTCTTAATCTTTCATCATCTTTGGAAAAGAAGAAAAATCTACTCGTCTTCATCTGTGGTAAAGACTGAGACCTGGAAAGATAAAGAAATTTTAGTCTCAGACAGAAGAGCCAACAGTACTATCCCATTCCAAATGCCAAAAATCATCCCCCATGAAAGGCAAATTATTTTCTAAACACTTAAGCATTTTAAAGAGGAAAGGCAATTATTGATTTAGTCCTAAGTGGAGCACCTGGTCCAAGAGGAAAGGAGTACTTGTGGCACCTTAGAGACTAACCAATTTATTTGAGCATAAGCTTTCGTGAGCTACAGCTCACTTCATCGGATGCATACTGTGGAAAATACAGAAGATGTTTTTATACACACAAACCATGAAAAAATGGGTGTTTATCACTACAAAAGGTTTTCTCTACCCCCACCCCACTCTCCTGCTGGTAATAGCTTATGTAAAGTAATCACGCTCCTTACAATGTGTATGATAATCAAGGTGGGCCATTTCCAGCACAAATCCAGGGTGGGAAAAGAAGGGGCTTGTAGAAAGCCCAGGAACTGAGAGCAGCTAGGGGCACCAGGGAAGTAGCCCAGAGTCACTCCCTGGGTGAAGAGAGGTGGGTTTGGGACTATAGAGGGTAGTCTACAGTTAATCCCTGAGAGGAGAGAGAGCCAGAAAGGTAGGCAAGGGTCAAGGGAAAAGCAACAAGGAGTTGGATAGGTTTCAGAGTAACAGCCGTGTTAGTCTGTATTCGCAAAAAGAAAAGGAGTACTTGTGGCACCTTAGAGACTAACCAATTTATTTGAGCATAAGCTTTCGTGAGCTACAGCTCACTTCATCGGATGCATATTGTGGAAAGTGTAGAAGATCTTTTTATACACACAAAGCATGAAAAAATACCTGCCCCCACCCCACTCTCCTGCTGGTAATAGCTTATCTAAAGTGACCACTCTCCTTACAATGTGTATGATAATCAAGGTGGGCCATTTCCAGCACAAATCCAGGGTTTAACAAGAACATCTGAGGAACGGGGTTGGGGGGGGGGAGAGAGGGGGAGATAGTAGGAAAAAACAAGGGGAAATATGTTGCCTTGCATAATGACTTAGCCACTCCCAGGCTCTATTCGAGCCTAAGTTAATTGTATCCAATTTGCAAATGGATTCCAATTCAACAGTCTCTCGCTGGAGTCTGGTTTTGAAGATTTTGATGGTGGGATAGAAATTGTTGAAATCGTGGTGGAATTCCTCAAGGGCTTCTTTTCCATGGGTCCAGATGATGAAGATGTTATCAATATAGCGCAAGTAGAGTAGGGGCGTTAGGGGACGAGAGCTGAGGAAGCGTCACCATGATTTCAACAATTTCCATCCCACTATCAACCTCAGCCTGGTCCAGTCCACACAAGAGATCCACTTACTGGACTCTACAGTGCTAATAAACGATGGTCACAAACACTACTCTATACCGGAAACCTACTGACTGCTATTCCTACCTACATGCCTCCAGCTTTCACCCTGACCACACCACATGATCCATCGTCTACAGCCAAGCTCTGCGATACAACCACATTTGCTCCAACCCCTCAGACAGAGACAAACACCTACAAGATCTCTATCAAGCATTCTTACAACTACAATACCCACCTGCGGAAGTGAAGAAACAGATTGATAGAGCCAGAAGAGTTCCCAGAAGTCACCTACTACAGGACAGGCCTAACAAAGAAAATAACAGAACGCCACTTTCAGCCCCCAACTAAACCCCCTCCAACGCATTATCAAGGATCTACATTCTCACAAATCTTGGGAGACAGGCCAGTCTTTGCCTACAGACAGCCCCCCAACCTAAAGCGAATACTCACCAGCAACCACATACCACACAACAGAACCACTAACCCAGGAACCTATCCTTGCAACAAAGCCCGTTGCCAACTGTGCCCACATATCTATTCAGGGGACACCATCACAGGGCCTAATAACATCAGCCACAGTATCAGAGGCTCTTTCACCTGCACATCTACCAATGTGATATATGCCATCATGTGCCAGCAATGCCCCTCTGCCATGTACATTGGTCTAACTGGACAGTCTCTACGTAAAAGAATAAATGGACACAAATCAGATGTCAAGAATTATAACATTCATAAACCAGTCGGAGAACACTTCAATCTCCCTGGTCACGCGATTACAGACATGAAAGTTGCGATATTACAACAGAAAAACTTCAAAACCAGACTCCAGCGAGAGACTGTTGAATTGGAATTCATTTGCAAATTGGATACAATTAACTTAGGCTTGAATAGAGACTTGGAGTGGCTAAGTCATTATGCAAGGCAACCTATTTCCCCTTGTTTTTTCCTACTACCCCCCGTTCCTCAGACGTTCTTGTTAAACCCTGGATTTGTGCTGGAAATGGCCCACCTTGATTATCATACACATTGTAAGGAGAGTGATCACTTTACATAAGCTATTACCAGCAGGAGAGAGGGGTGGGTGAAGAGAAAACCTTTTGTAGTGATAAACACCCATTTTTTCATGGTTTGTGTGTATAAAAACATCTTCTGTATTTTCCACAGTATGCATCCGATGAAGTGAGCTGTAGCTCACGAAAGCTTATGCTCAAATAAATTGGTTAGTCTCTAAGGTGCTACAAGTATTCCTTTTCTTTTTGTGAATACAGACTAACATGGCTGTTACTCTGAAAACTGGTCCAAGAGGTGAATGTAGCTGGACTGCTTGGTAATAGTGACCATAATATAATTAAATATAAAATCCCTGTGGCGAGGAAAACACCACAACAGCCCAACACAGTAGCATTTAATTTTAGAAAGCGGAACTACAAAAAAATGAGGAAGTTAGTTAAACAGAAATTAAGAAGTACATTGGCAAAAGTGAATTCCCTGCAAGCTGCATGGCAACTTTTTAAAAAGACACCATAATAGAGGCTCAACTGAAATGTATACCCTAAATTAAAAAATATACTAAGAGAACCAAAAAAGTGCCACCGTGGCTAACCAACAAAGTAACAGAAGCAGTGAGAGGCAAAAAGTCATCCTTTAAAAAGTGAAGTTAAATCCTAGTGAGGAAAATAGAAAGTAGCATAAACTCTGGCAAGTGAAGTGTAAAAATATCATTAGTAAGGCCAAAAAGAATTTCAAAAACAGCTAGCCAAAGACTCAAAAAGTAATAGCAAAAGAATGTTTAAGTACATCAGAAGCAGGAAGCTTGCTAAACAACCAGTGGGGCCACTGGAAGTTCAAGATGCTAAAGGAGCACTCAAGGACGATAAAGCCATTGCAAAGAAATTAAATTAATTCTTTGCATCGGTCTTCACATCTGAGGATGTGAGGGAGATTCCCAAATCTGAGCCATTCTTTTTAGGTGACAAATGTGATGAACTGTCCCAGGTTGAGGTGTCATTAGAGGTTTTTCAACAAATTGATAAATTAAACAGTAATAACTCACCAGGACCAGATGGTATTCACCCAAGAGTTCTGAAGGAACTCAAATGTGAAATTGCAGAACTACTAACTGTGGTTTGTAACTGATCATTTACACCAGCTTGTCTACCAAATGACTGGAGGATAGCTAATGTGACGCCAATTGTTAAAAAGGTCTCCAGAGGTGATCCTGGCAATTACGGACCGGTAAGCCTGAATTCATTACCAGGCAAACTGGTTGAAACTATAATAAAGAACAATATTGTCAAACATATAGATGAACATCATTGTTGAGGAAGAGTCAACATGGTTTTAGTAACAGGAAATCATGCCTCACCAATCTACTAGAATTCTTTGAGGGCATGTGGACCAAGCATGTGGACAAGCATGTGGACCAAGGTGATCTAGTGGCTATAGTGTATGTAGATTTTCAGAAAGCCTTTGACAAAGTCCCTCATCAAAGGCTCTTAATCAAAGTAAGCTGTCATAGGATCAGAGGGAAGGTCCTCTCAGGGATCAGTAACTGGTTTTCAAAATGGAGACAGGTAAATAGTGGTGTCTCCCAGGGGTCTGTACTGGGACCAGCACTATTTAACGTATTCATAAATGATCTGGAAAAAGGGGTAAATAGAGAGATGGCAACATTTGCAGAGAATACAAAACTACTCAAGATAGTTAAGTCCCAAGCAGACTGCAAAGAGCTACAAAGGGATCTCACAAAACTGGGTAACTGGGCAACAGCATGGCAGAGTAAATTCAGTGTTGATCAATGTAAAGTAACGCACTTTGGAAAACATAATCCCAACTATGCATATAAAATGATGGGGTCTAAATTAGCTCTTACCACTCAAGAAAGATCTTGGAGTCAGAGTGGATAGTTCTCTGAAAACATCCACTCAATGTGTAGCGGAGGTCAAAAAAGCTAACAGGATGTTGGGAATCATTGAGGGATAGATAATAAGACAGAAAATATCACGTCACCTCTATATAAATCGATGGTATGCCCACATCTTGAATACCGCGGGTGGATGTGGTCGTCCCATCTCAAAAAAGATGCATTGGAATTGGAAAAGGTTCAGAAAAGGGCAACAAAAATGATTAGAGGGTATGGAACAGCTTCCATATGAGGAGAGATTAATAAGACTGGGACTTTTCATCTTGAAAAGAGACTACTAAGGGGGGATATGATAGAGGTCTATAAAATCATGTGGAGAAAGTAAATAAAGAAGTGTTATTTACTCCTTCTCATAATACAAGAACTAATGGTCACCACATGAAATTAATAGGCAGCAGGTTTAAAATAAACAGAAGGAAGTACTTCTTCACACAACACACAGTCAACCTGTGGAACTCTTTGCCACAGGATGTTGTGAAGGCCAACTGTGATGACGTACAAAAAAGAAATAGATAAATTCATGGAGGATAGGTCCATCAATAGCTATTAGCCAAGATGGGTAGGAATGGTATTCTCAGCCTGTTTGCCAGAAGCTAGGAATGGGTGACAGGATGGATCACTTGATGATTACCTGTTCTGTTCATTCCCTCTGGGGCACCTGGCATTGGCTACTGTGGGAAGACAGGATACTGGGCTAGATAGACCTTTAGTCTGACCCAGTATGGCCGTTCTTATGTAAAACTGCATTGCTTTATAATATCAGAAATGCTACACACTGAAAGATTTAACAGTTTAATTTGTAATAGTAATACTAAAGCTATGGGATGTCTGTTTGAAACAAGGAGACTTGCTCACCAACAACTTAAATGTAAATCTAATTATTGGATAAGCAAGTACTTTCCAAAATATTTGCATGAAGCCAAAATAAGTTGTTTTTTTATTTTGCATGTTAAGTTCCAATGCATGTGAGGTACCGAGCAACATTTACGTGGCAGGGAAGCCAGTTTTCACTTCCAGCCTCAGTCAAATGCACTGGTCAATCAGTGAACCAGGGAATTTTAAATGTATAGCAGCAACTTGTCTGGTGGGCAGTAAGGAATTCAGTTTTCCAGAATGAGGCTTTTGATGCTGGGGTGGAGGTGGGGGGTGCCAAATAAAAGGATTTTTTCCCGGCTGCCACATAAATCCTGATAATCAGTAAGTACTTAATAGCCACAAAATATAAAACCAGATTTACATTTCTTTGAAGTTTTCATTTTCAGAGTCTTCTGGCTCATCATTTTCCTCTGAGCTGCTATCCTGGAAACGAGGATCCTCTTGCCATGCTACTCTTGCAGGTTTTATTGTTTCAATTTTGTAGGGCTCTGCAATAGTACCACCAAAAAGTCTGATCATTCCCCTGACTACAAAGTGAAACTTCTGTTTAGGTAAGAGTGAAATATCTGATTTGGAAAGGACACTTTTTGTGCTTTCAGAAGGATATGCAGATTTTCCCTATCTTCCTCTGTTTTACATTTCCATCCCCAAAATCTACAGTCAGTATCATTTTGGCTTAAGAAGAGAATAGCAGATCTCCTTTGAAGCCAGTCATTGTTACTCCTTATTGGCCAGGGAGAGTGCTGTTAAATATCCAGAGGATAAGCATAGTCCCCAGGTAGTATTCTCAGCCTTTGCTGATCTGTCAAAGAAGAGAAAAGGACAACAATACAACTGTTTTCCCTGTGCGGTACAACACACCACCCAAAACCAACAGTACAAAATCCAAGTAGAAAGCAATTCTTTACATGCAGATTGTGACGCTGGTAGACCAGCTCACTTGTATGTTAATATTGTTCAAGATAGATGTTAGATTTGTAAGAATATGTTTAGATTCTATACAATTCTTATAAGTTGCTCCATGCATTAATCTTACCTGTAATGTCTGTATACCATGCTATAAGGAAATATTCAAGTTATGCTTAATTGTGAAAATTTGCTTTAAATTTTGCTCAGATCTGTCCATGAGATTTGTTTAATCTGTTTGACAGAAGGATGATTTCATACAACCTGGTGTGTCATCTTATTAAATATAATCTTCAGTGATTCAAAAGTTAAAACAAATAAATGCCAGTAAAAGCAAACTATTAAAAAAAGTACCAGAATCTGCAATGTTACCTTCTTTCACAGCTGACTGGTTCATATCGTCACCAAAAAAGGAAAACGTGAAGCCACTAGATTTTTCTTCTGCATTGCCCTCAACATTAAGTCTTAATATATGCCGGTCAGCCAGAGTTGATTCTTCCATATCATCATGTTTGTCCCAGGGTATTATTTCACTTTTTTCAGCTGCACATTTTGTTGATCCAAATACCTCTTTTAAATCCACCGCAACATCATAGTATATTTCTTTAGACACTTCGGGCAATTTCTCTGCCTCCTCCCTTTTCTTCTTTCTTTTAGCTTTACTGGAATTATATTTATTTTAAAAAACAATTATGCACTGGACAAACATTTGAAAGATATGGGGTTTTCTTTTGACTGATCTTTGTATTACTTAAAGGAGACTTCCTATCCAGGGAAATATTCAAATCCTCTAGCAAGTACTTTGCTTTTCTGCATTCCTGTTTTCTCAGTAATTTCAGTTTCTGGTAATAGGATGCCCTAAGAGTTGAAGGATTACATTCCTGTCTCATCAATTTGAGCAAATTTTTCATTTTTCAACTATTTCCTCTCTCCAGATCATACAGATAAGCACAACCTACAGAAGGGAAAAATTCATGTTTGACCTTAAGAGACTGGTGACAACTCTGATCTATTGCTAGCATCATCACTGCTGTACTAAAAGGAATCTTTATAGAGAGTCTACATTTTACTAGGGATGGGGAGACTTGCAAAGGGGACAGCAGAGTAAGCAAGGAGAATGATAGGCTTGTGGCCTCCAAATACTTTTGAAAATCAGCCCTCAAGGGGAAGAAAGTTTGTCTTACAACTATAAGGAGGTGATAAGATATTACCTCTCTTTTTCTGTAGTATCTGTTTTCCTTTCAAAAACTTCATGGTCCTGCCTTGTGGGATCATAGCGTAAGGTATTAATATCTCTGTATGAATAAGAGGAATAATAAAAAGAGATACTGTAACTAAATGTCTAAAATAAAACAACCTAACTGACAAGTGCAATGACATTTTCAGCTCATCTTATTTGTGTTCACAAGCAGATTGAAATTCACTTTTGTTTTTATACAGTACAAAAATTATTAGCATTATGAGAGCAGATCAGTGTGTGTTACAGTCTGTACTGTGAAGAAAAAAAAGATTCCACGCAGCATTCTTCACATCAAATTATTAAAATCTTCAGCATTAAATATCTGTCAGTTGTTCTTTAGGAAACAACATTAATACATAGATATGTTTTATCGTTTGGAGATTAACTGAGTTTATGATTATTATATCCAGAGATTCTGATTTCCCCTTAATTTTCAAATATACCAAAAATGGAGATTTTTTTTCCCTTTCAAAACTGAAAATGTTATTGAAATTAGTTAATGAAGTCCAAACTTTAGATCAGAGGAAAATAGCCTGACTGCATTATTCCATCCAGCTTAAAGACAATACAAAAATATTCAACCAAATATTCTGTTCCCCACACAGGCCTCTCTTGTCCTGTGAAATTAAAAGTTAATTTATGCTATCACGGAAGTTAACCCCCCAAAAATAGGTGATTTGACTTCTGTGAAGCAAAAATACAAGGAAAGGAGGCCATTGAAACTGTTGAGAAAATCTTTAGGAGATACATAAAGATCTTTATAAGATTCATACAATTGTAAAATGAGCATTGTGACACAGTTGCCTACCAAACAGGGCTATACACCAATAATGGAAGTTGGAACGAAAATATACTATTTGCAAAATACCTCAACACACCACCATTAAAAATAATCATTCCTGTATTAATTCAGCCCACAGATGGATTGCTCCTCCAAATGTATGGATTAAAGATACAGATAAGAGTTCAGTTTTTGAAATGTATTATTAAATGCATTGTATCTAGAAATTGTGGCTTCCTCGGACAATGAAAGTTAGGACATGTGGGATAAAGGTAGAGAATCCACGCCTAACACACTGAAGAAACATCCTAACAGTAGTAAGGACAGACTATAAATGAGAATGTATATTTTTACAAAACACTTCTGTCTAGGAATAAATTTGATGTTGATGAAGAGCAGAAATGGCAATTACGTGATGCCATCATCATCCATCGCAGTCTCCAGAAATCAAAGTCTAGTCTTGTCAAGGTTCCTTCCCCACTCTGAACTATAGGGTATGGATGTGGTGACCTGCATGAAAACCTCCTAAGCTTACTTTTACCAGCTTAGGTTAAAACTTCCCCAAGGTACAAACTATTTTACATTTTGCCCTTGGACTTTCGCTGCCACCACCACACATCTAACCGGTATTCTTATTATTAGAAAAAAAGAGTCCATTTGGAAAAGCCTTTCCCCCCAAAATCCTCCCAAATCTTACACCCCCTTTCCTGAGGAAGGTTTGAGAAAAATCCTCACCAATTTGCATAGGTGACCACAGACCCAAATCCTTGGATCTTAAAACAATGAAAAAGCATTCAGTTTCTTAAAAGAAGAATTTTAATAGAAGAAAAAGTAAAAAGGATCACCTCTGTAAAATCAGGATGGTAAATACCTTACAGAGTAATTAGATTCAAAACATAGAGAATCCCTCTAGGAAAACCTTAAGTTACAAAAAGACAAAAACAGGAATATCCATTCCATTCAGCACAGCTTATTTTCTCAGCCATTTAAAGGAATCAGAATCTAACGCATATCTAGCTAGATTACTTACTAAGTTCTAAAACTCCATTCCTGTTCTGTCCCCGGGGGAAAGCATCACACAGACAGAGAGAGAGGCTTTGTTTCTCCCCCCCCCCCCCAGCTTTTGAAAGTATCTTGTCTCCTCATTGGTCATTTTGGTCAGGTGCCAGCGAGGTTATACTAGCTTCTTAACCCTTTACAGGTGAAAGGGTTTCTCCTCTGGCCAGGAGGGATTTAAAGGTGTTTACCCTTCCCTTTATATTTATGACAAGTCTATTAACCCACTATTCAACCTACTTTCAGTATAATTAGCCATTTTGAGTTTGTCTCTCTTTGGAGGGGAAAAGAAAATAAGGAAGCATTCAACTTTGGTAGATTTTAAGCTCTTTGGGGGCAAGGAGATCATTTTATTAACCCATAAATTCTCACGCACAATGGCACTATATAAATAATGATTATGGCCCATAATATAATCTATTGTCATACTGGGATGGGAAGCCTGATTCAAAGGTGACCTCCCATGCATGTGATAAGGCGGGGAGGAGAAAGCTGTTTTCAGTAAACTAATAAAACAGAGAGGAAATTATGTCATGTAACAGAAAATTATAGTCTTCCTAAGGTTCAGGTTTCTTCTGCTAAAGCAGGATCCATACCTGAATTTTTTGGTATTTGTTGCCAGTTTGCTTGATTTAGGATGTTCTAGGCTGATCTGCAAGAGACTTCCCAATATCTCCAGATTTTTCTTTTTCTCAGCAGCAAGTTCTCCTTCCTCATCTGTCTTCACTTTCTTTGCCTCTTCTAGGAAAAATATATAAAAACCTCTATGAAATGACTCCTTGAAGTGTTCTTCCAATACTTTACACCACTAGTAAGTCAGTTAAGAAGCTCACAGAGTTTTAGGTTAAAAAGGATAGGATATGTTCTCTATTCCTCCTTATTTTAAAACTTTTTAAACGATACATTTTGTTTTCCCCTCAAGTTATGCTCAAGCTTTGCTTATGAGGCGGTATGGGCATCAATTTAACATGAAAGATAGAGATTTAATCATTTTCAGTCCCATGATTTTCTTCTATTTTATAATAATTACCCAGACATTGTCATTTAAGGCTGTTAAGGGACATTTCTTGGGGTTGTAGACAAAAATATCCAAGTGAGAAGTAGGACTGGCTGAAAATTTGGGTGTTTTAAAACAGGGTTGGTTTGTTTGAAATTTGTTTGTTTTGGATTGATAGGAGGGTTTTTTTGTTTTGTTTTTTTGCCAAAAAAATTTCTTTTCAGGAAAACATTTTTGCAATTTTCAACCAGCTCAATTGACAATACTCCCCCTTGTGGCTATTGTATAGCATGGTACTGCAAGATGCATAAAATTCAAGTATAGCCAAGGAATAGAAAAGCAAAAAGCAAGGTTACTCTGGTTAATGGTATCCCCTTATCTTCTGAAAGGTGCAGATACATTTATTTTGATATCATCCTATAACAAAAGAAATGTTTTAAAATGTTGCCCTTCTAACAAGGAAATACACCCCCACCTACAACCCAAACTAGAGTTTACAGTAGCTAAATAGGGCATTTTATAAATTTGTTCTCTAAATTATGATGCCAGTACTATTTACTTCTAAACTACTTTCCCATGAAGCTAAATCCAGAGAAGAGAAATGTGTAATAAGTAATTCTAAATGTTCAAAAACTTACACCCATCATGCCTCTCTATTATTACTAATTAGTTGTGACTACAAACTGCTGTGGAAGAGCAAGACCTGGAAAATAAGAGAAAATGTTTACCTTCCTCTTCACTGCCACTTTCAAGGAACCGAGCATCCATACGAAATCTTTCATCTGTGCCAAAGCGTGATTGTAAATGCATGAGCTACATTGATAACAAAACAAAAAATCTGAGATTAAATGTATGCAGTCCAGCAGCTTTATAACAATCAGACAAGCAGTAACAGTTTTAACTGGAATCATGGCCATGAATTAACATAAGCTTTCACTGTAGAGGTTCTCAGGAGAAATTTTTAGTGGCCTCAGAGTGCAGCCACCAACTCTTGCTGGTGACTGCTTTCACACTTTTTCCTAAAATACTTAATTAGCTTTAGGAAAAGCAAATAAATATGCACATATACACATCCAAATCATTGTAATTTATTTATTGATAGCTAGTAAATCTGTTGTGCAAAGTGATAGTAACAAACATACAAGTATCACTTTGCATAACGGACTTAGCCCTGGCAAGCCTGGGGACAAATTAAGCCTTGGATGGTGGCCAGGGAAGGCAGTGGGGGGCTAATGCCTGAAGCTCTGCTGCCAGAGCCTGGGGCCTGCTGCCATGCAGCCAGAGCCCGGGACTGGAGCCTGAAGCCCCGTGGCCAGAGCCTGCCACCCCCCCACCCCAGGGCTGAACCCCAAAGCCTGAGCCCAACTGCCCCTGGAAATGTGGGGAAACTCACTGGGTGCTTCCTTCTCCGGTGATGTGCCCAAGGTGTCTCCAAGGGGGGAGCAGAGCCCAACCTCTGCTGGTGGCCCCAGTAACCAACATCAAGGTGGGGCATCCAGGAGCAACAGGGAGAGGAAGGGGCAGCTACTTGGGAGGCTGGGGCCACAAGAAAAAGTGCCTGGGGTCTGCATTTGGCCAAGGTGGCCACATCTGAGAAACGCTAATAAGCCTCTTTTGAAAATACCATTTGACTACAGCTTGGAAGGTGTGGGAAAGTGCAGTTACATTATTACATAATGAGAAAACATTATTTCCTCTACATCTAAATGGACTTTTCCAACGCAGGTATTACCATAACTTTGCCAACACCATCCTCTTCAGGTAACTGCAGATATTATTAAATAGGTTCACTAACCTTCTCACCAGCTTTGCCTTCAAACTGGGGTTTGATTTGGAATCGGTCATCTTCACCGGCAGCCTCTTGCTCATCGTCACTGCTCTCAAACAACTTCCCAGAAATTTTACTAGTAAATTCCTTAATTGTTTAATAAAAAAAAAGCAAAACACACAGAGGAAACAGTTATAATAAGCAGTTCTAAGAACACTATCAACTACTAGCCACTTGTTTTGCATTACTTTCCCAATACAGCTGGAAGCCAACACTCTTTCAGGATACCGCATTTACTTCTCCTAATTATTGAGGTCCACGAATCCTTGTAAAAAGATGTTACAGCTGCTTTAGATGTTCTGAGACAATTCTTTGGTAATTTTATTTTACAGTTGTGATCATCCAAGTGTGGCAGGAGCACATTTCTGTATGAAGTAACCGCACTTTTCCATATGATTTTATTTTATAAGTTACTGTGATGCTGAGCCAGTGAGAGTTAAACAACCAGCAGGCTGGGTGACCTGAAAGCAACTCTTAAGGACATATTAGAAGAGTACTGAAATGGTAAATAGGACCATTCCTTGCAGATAGTTATCAAAGCCATTTCAAGTTGACTAACAATAGAGGCCTCCATATCAAGGATCTAGAGAATCAAGAATAAACTCTAATCATATTTGCCTGTTTACCTATATCTTGTTGGAAGTTTAACAATGTGATCTAATTAGCTATGTTTCATTACTGAATTCTATTGACTCAGAGATCAAAAGGCGAAATTATCATTTAGATAGGACTTGTGGTATAATAATGTTATTGGGCACATTTCTCTTTGAAATTTATAGTAAACTACCTGTGAACTGTTTGATGGTTAATTGTCTTATGCTAATTAATACAACTAGTTACCGGTGTATCCCGGGGAAACAGATTAGCTTCAAAGCAACAATGTACATGACCTGTTCTTCATTCAAGGAAGGCCAGCTGTGATCATTTGCTGTCAAGAGGCTTATCCACTTAACTTCAGCTATAAAGAAAGCGTTGGGCCTGATCCTATTTTATCGCAGATCTGTTTAAACTTTGACAGGGAAAGTCTATGCTTACAAGACTTAGGTCTCCAGGTCTACTCTCAATTAACCCTGCCATTCTCATGGAAGAATTTGAACAAACTCTGCACATGGACTGCCTATTTGACTATAGGCTTTTATATGGATTACAGAAGGATTTTTACAAATCAGCAGCCTCACCCATCTCTGCTATGAAACTGACCTAAGAACTTTTTTCTTATCTGTATGTATATTGCTGTTTTAACCACAGCAACTCTTTCTTTTTATTAATAAATCCTCACTATATTAGACTTGGCTGTCCGGATGGGAACCAAAGGGGACTGTATTTTGGCTTCTTGATAACCAGTAAGGAAGCTGTTTGGTTACTGGCTTGGTGAAATCTCATTATAAAATAAACCACCAATTCTGGGGATTGTCTGCCCTATTATTTGCAGTTTGCCCTGAATAAACATTCTCAGTGTAGCCCCTCCAGGCACCGTGGTCACAGTTACACATTTCATATTCTTGCAACTGCATATCTGATTAGTATTTGTAAAATGCCTTTAATGTAGATGATTCACTGGTGATGCAGATGACACTTTACCCTCTCAAATCCATATAGTCAATAAAAACAGTTTGATAGTTATTATGAAGCAATATTTCAGTTAAACATGCTTTTCTCTAGGTTTCACAGTGGTCATTAGGTTTTCATAAAAAAGTTAATTTGGATTTTGAAAAATGTTATTCTAGGAAAGAGTTTTAGAACCAGTTTTTAAGTACCAGCCTCACAGACTGTCTTTTTGCTTTATGAAATCACAATACACTGGAAGTTACTTGACAAATAAAATTAAAATGATAAAAGTCAAAAGAAATGTAATGCAGTTGCAAGTGACACACTCATCATCAGCAGCCAAGAATGTCACAGCCAAGTCTTCCAGAATAATTATGGCTCCCCATCAGAGTGTTTTGGCCACCGTACAACAATTCAGAAAGTAATAAACTAACCTCTAAATAGAAGTCAGGAAAACAAAGGGATGGGAGGGAGAAAGGGTGTTTTACATTTAACGTTGACAGTGGCCCTAATTTTAAAACATCTTTGAAAAAGAAAACAGCTTTCAGTTCAGGCTTTAAAAGGGGAGAGAATGAAATATGTCAAGGGAGAGGAAGTTCCCTCCCATCAAACGCATCATCACCTGCTGACCTACTGCATGATGGTGAAACCTCTGAAGAGAGGTGGTGTTACAAAAGGTATTGGTTAAGTAAAGTTCCAGGAGAAAGTCTCAAAATTTACTCAAACTCTACACCATCAGCCATTTTAAAACCCAAGAGGGCCAATTTAAAATTTATCCTCCGCTTTATAGACAGTAAATGTGAAGGATCCATGGCAGATGTAATTTTACCACAGTTGCTCAATTAATAAGCAAAAACCCTTCTGCATCTTGCACAGCGTGTAGCATATAAAAGAATATACCTAATTGTTCATGTAGCGAAAGCCCATTTTCATCTAGCATACAGTCAAAATCTTACACTACAGTTAAAAACAATAAAATACATTTCTACTCAGTTACCAAAACCAATACCAAATTAAAACAAGGTTCAGTAAACTGGAATGCATGACAGGCTTGACATTCTGACTTAAAGATGCATAACCTTGCTTGTGTATTTCAATGTCATTATTTGTTGGTTTTTGAGTTACATTATTTGGGATGGAGTGAGGGCTAGTGGTTAGATGATAGAATCTTGAACGCCAGATTTCCAGTCCTTTTCCAGCCACTTACTCTCTGCACAACACTGGGCAATTCAAATCTTTTCCTTTTATTTAACTGACAACAGTGGGCAGTGGAGTTTTGGCATAACCACATGTAAGCCTCTCCATGTGACCATTGCTCTTATGGTTCGTGTGAACACTGCACTGCAATCAATTTATACAAGTTATTTTATGCGGTAGAGTGCCTGATTTTTTCAGTTTCCAAAGAGATACTCCAAAATTTGCATTGTCCTTAATTTATAAATTCATGTTTTAATTCTACGAATATGCATCACTTATTTTGTATCATCTGTTTTATATCCATTAGTACGAAGGACAATATTCAAGATTTGATCTCAAACTCTGAATAAGAGTAGGTGTTGCTCTTCAGTACAATACATACTAGCAAATTGGGTAGGTGAATGCCCTCTCAGAAATTAGGTTGGATTTGTTTCTAAGCCACTTACTTTTCCAGGCAGATTTCCTATAGTCACTTCTTCCTTAGACTTCTCTTCTACTTCAGCTTCACTTTCTCCATCTGAATCAAATACAATGTGCTTATGTTTGCTTGCTGACTGGCTTTCCTGGAAAAGGAGAGACATTGTTAAGTTTAACATTTCAAATATTGGTTATATACTATGGGAACTACTGCTGGGCACATTTACAACAGTAGAGAATGAAATTAAAACACCTATTGTGTTTTCTGGAAAAAATCCCATGACATCTTTTTGGACATATCCTAAAAATCAATCTGGCAAAGAAGATAGGCGCTGCTCTCAAACACGATTCAAACCACAGCAACATCTTAGAGAACACATACTAGAGATACTTATTAAACCAGTATTCTTTCAGTACTGTTTTACTGTTCAGAGACAAGTTGAAAGCATACTTACCAGGTTCAGAAGAGCCCCCTGAATAAGTTTCTTCTGTAATGCTCTCTCTTTCTGTCTCTCTTGTAGAGCTGCAAGTCTCTTCTGATTATCCTGCAATTGTTTCTCCTTTTCATCTGACTCAACTGAGACAGCAATAGGAATGCAAAGCTTTTCTTTACTTTTGTGAAGACTTTTCTTATTGTTCTCACTTTCCTGAAATTTAGAGGCTGAACCTTTACTGCTTGCATCCTTCTTTGGTTTGCCAGGAAGAGATTCTGGGCTTTCCAATTCACATTTAATGTGTTTCTGTGCGACAGATAAAACACTGTCTGTGTCAGTGCTTTCCTCCTCGCTTCCACTGATACTAGTTGTGGTGCAGTCCTCACTGTCTCCTCTGTTTGCTGTTTGATCTTCTGCATGAGAATTCAAGTAGTTATTCTCTCGTAATAAAGGTGGTTTCCAAACAGGTTTTTCACTTCCACCTTCTGAGTATTGGGAATTTAACACCTTCTTGAGCTGGTTGCTGAGAGTATTTTGCTTCTTTTTCACACTTCTGTCTTCAAGTGAACATAATATGGAACTCCTAGACTCTCTGGAAGCTGAGTGTTTCCCATGACAAGAACAGTTTGGCTTTGAAACCTCTTCTAAAGATTTATTTTTCAAATCAACAAGGCTTGAGGAATTTTGGTTACATTTTCTTTTACAGCTGCAAGAACCTTCCTTGCTCATCTCCTCAAAATTCTCACTTTCACATAATGACCCTATTCCTCTGAAAGGCTGAAATTTCAAACTGGAAGTATTTTCCTTTGGCTTCTCATCATCAGCACTCTCCTCTCCCTCTAAAATGGCAGCAACTATATCTTCAGGATTAATAGATGTTTTAGTTGTAGAGGCAATTTCAAAAGGCTTTGTACTATACTTGGTGTTACTAATATTACCTTCAGTTTTGCACTGACTATCCCTCTGTTTACCTGCTGTATCTCCTTCTGAAGATTCAATACTTGCAGTGGCTAATGCTTCTAACTCATGTAATGTAAGATGTAGGCGGTAACAGTTTTGCATCATGTCTTCATAATCAGAATCAGCTTCAGATTCACTTGCTTCCAGCTCTGAATCAAAACCGGTAGACCCAGACTTGCTGTCAACTCTGTTGTCCTGTAGTTCAGAAGTCAGGACTTCTGCTGTTTTGTTATGCACTGCTTTTTTGTTATTTTTGTCTCTTAACTTATCTGGTGACAACACAAAGGAATCATTTACAGAATCAAAGCTTTTGTTGTTTTTGAAAGTTTCATTCCTAACATTGTCCTTCCTTTGCATTTTCACCAGCTCAGAATCTCTTAGAATTTTAGTCTTCACACTGTTTTTATCTGGAGTTTTAGTCACAGCAATAATTTCATCTGTATCTGCTGAATCATAATCAGTGTCATTTTCAATAGTCTTTCCTTGTCTGTTACATCCCTTACTCACTTTCTTCATATTTGGATTGGTTAAAGACCAGTGAGTGTTGTATTTTAGCTCAAAATTATCCCCCACAACTTCCAAATGATCACTTTCAGATACAGCATTTGTTTTAGCTTTCTGTATTTCCTTTTCTTTCTCTATCATTGCCCTGATTTCTTCTTCTGAATCAATATCACTGTCTGAAATGCTGTTTGTATTCCTGTTAGGCTTAACACCAGCTGCCAGGTTCTTATCCAGAAATAATTCTTTGCCTTTCATGACAATTCTATTAAGACTAGGTGTCTGAAGTAATTTAGACAGACCAGTTGATTTGGAGTTTGACATTTGGACTAATTTTGTTTGTTTTAAGTTTTCTTTTTTCAAGTGGCAACCTGGTGTTTTATTTAAATCTTCACTACTCTGTATCCTCATTTTTTTAGGTGTTTTTTTAAATTCAGGGAACTCTCCTCGTCGTTTCTTGCTTATGCTGTCATCCCCGCCTTCCAACTGCCAGGTGAGCTTGGATATGGGAACTGTGTCAGTCAAGTCTTGCTCCAGCTTTCTAAGGTTGTGGCAATATTTTGATGGGTCATATTTCATTATGTTATAGTCAGAGTTAAGGAATAAAAATAAAACCAAGGAGGCTTCCACTTTTCAACAAGTAACAACTTAAGTTATAGGGACAAGGACAATAGATGTTGTCACAGGCCATGTCTACACTACCCGCCGGATCGGCAGGTAGTGATCGATCTATCGGAGATCGATTTATCGTGTCTAGTGTAGATGCGATAAATCGATCCCCGATTGCTCTGCTGTCGACTATTACTATTCCCTGGCACTGGGAAAGGCCCAACTCCTTCAGAGAGCCTGTCTGTGTCTCAGCCTGCCTCTCAACCACTGACTATTGACCCCATCCTTTCTCTCCTGAGAATGGCTTTTAACTATTTAGTGTCCTTTTGATCTCCAGGCTCTAAGCCCAGCAAAACAAGGCTTGCATCTTCATTGGAGACAAGGTATAGATCCTCTAAGCTCATAACTCCCCCCCGTGCAGCCCCCACATTGGGTAATTGCCCTCCAGTGTTTGCTAAGAGGTTATCTATAAGTGTTGTGTTGCTTTCCTTCTTGCTCCCCCCCCCTCGCCCCCGCAACCTCCTCTTAAGCTAGATCAATACATTGCTGCAGAAGAGTCTTATAACCCAGGATATAGGAACTTCACCTTACTGACCAGGTCACATACAATGTTCATAAAATTATTACATCTGAGTATTTTTAGGGTATTATATCACAGCTCCACATCCATCATTTTTAAAGCTATGTTTTATGAACTTTTTAAGTGAGTTACATGCAACATGTACAACTATCCATCTAACTAATGCAAGTTTGTTGCAAGATTTAGGATGAAGCCACCAAGTAATCAAGCACTGGAGGAACATTTTTCTGGTTTTTTTTAGCAAACGCATATTTAAAGTGAGTCCATCTGTTTTTTGCACTCTGATCCTTTCCATAATGGCGAGTGAGAGATTTGGAATTCTAATCATCAGCCAATATATACCAATTCTTTGCCAAGCATAGCATTTTAATTATCTCCACATAAGAGACAGTAACTGCACGGTGTTTTGTATCAACAATATAAAGACTTATGCAAATATCTCCTTCCCCCAATAAAGATGGTAAACAAATGAAGAGAATAATGGAACTGTATCTATGATCAGTCAGTGTTTACTAAAGCAGTAGGAAAGGATATTTTGCTTTTGTGTCTACCCTTAAGGTGAAGGATGGGTAAAACTCTGCCAAATTTACTAACGACCCAATCCTGTAAGAAAGAAAAATATACAATTATATCAGAGTGAAAAAAATAATAGGGATTAAATGTCAGGAATTAAATGTTTCAGAGTAGCAGTTTGTTAGTCTGTATTTGCAAAAAGAAAAAAGGAGTACTTGTGGCACCTTAGAGACTAACCAATTTATTTGAGCATAAGCTTCCGTGAGCTTATCACTTATCACTTCATCGGATGCCTACTGTGGAAACTGCAGAAGACATTATATACACAGAGACCATGAGACAATACCTCCTCCCACCCCACTCTCCTGCTGGGAATAGCTTATCTAATGTGATCACTCTCCTTACAATGAGTATGATAATCAAGCTGGGCCATTTCCAGCACAAATCCAGGTTTTCTCACCCCCCCCCTTTTTTCCAAAAACCACACACACAAACTCACTCTCCTGCTGGTAACAGTTCATCCAAAGTGACCACTCTCCCTACAATGTGCATGATAATCAAGGTGGGCCATTTCCAGCACAAATCCAGGTTTTCTCACCCCCCCCCCCCCCACACAAACTCACTCTCCTGCTGGTAATAGCTCATCCAAACTGACCACTCTCCTTACAATGTGTATGATAATCAAGGTGGGCCATTTCCAGCATAAATCCAAATTTAACCAGAATGTCGGGGGGGGGGGGGAGAGGGGCTAGGAAAAAACAAGGGGAAATAGGCTACCTTGCATAATGACTTAGCCACTCCCAGTCTCTATTTCAGCCTAAATTAATAGTATCCAATTTGTAAATGAATTCCAATTGAGCAGTTTCTCGCTGGAGTCTGAATTTGAAGTTTTTTTGTTTTAAGATAGCGACCTTCATGTCTGTGATTGCGTGACCAGAGAGACTGAAGTGTTCTCCGACTGGTTTATGAATGTTGTAATTCTTGACATCTGATTTGTGTCCATTTATTCTTTTAGGTAAAGACTGTCCAGTTTGACCAATGTACATGGCAGAGGGGCATTGCTGACACATGATGGCATATATCACATTGGTGGATGTGCAGGTGAACGAGCCTCTGATAGTGTGGCTGATGTTATTAGGCCCTGTGATGGTGTCCCCTGAATAGATATGTGGGCACAGTTGGCAACGGGCTTTGTTGCAAGGATAGGTTCCTGGGTTAGTGGTTCTGTTGTGTGGTATGTGGTTGTTGGTGAGTATTTGCTTCAGGTTGGGGGGCTGTCTGTAGGTAAGGACTGGCCTGTCTCCCAAGATTTGTGAGAGTGTTGGGTCATCCTTCAGGATAGGTTGTAGACCCTTAATAATGCGTTGGAGGGGTTTTAGTTGGGGGCTGAAGGTGACGGCTAGTGGCGTTCTGTTATTTTCTTTGTTAGCCCTGTCCTGTAGTAGGTGACTTCTGGGAACTCTTCTGGCTCTATCGATCTGTTTCTTCACTTCCGCAGGTGGGTATTGTAGTTGTAAGAATGCTTGATAGAGATCTTGTAGGTGTTTGTCTCTGTCTGAGGGGTTGGAGCAAATGAGGTTGTATCGCAGAGCTTGGCTGTAGACGATGGATCGTGTGGCGTGGTCAGGGTGAAAGCTGGAGGCATGTAGGTAGGAATAGCGGTCAGTAGGTTTCCGGTATAGGGTGGTGTTTATGTGACCATTGTTTCTTAGCACTGTAGTGTCCAGGAAGTTGATCTCTTGTGTGGACTGGACCAGGCTGAGGTTGATGGTGGGATGGAAACTGTTGAAATCATGGTGGAATTCCTCAAGGGCTTCTTTTCCATGTGTCCAGATGATGATGATGTCATCAATATAGCGCAAGTAGAGTAGGGGTGTGAGGGGACAAGAGCTGAGGAAGCGCTGTTCTAAATCAGCCATAAAAATGTTGGCATACTGTGGGGCCATGCGGGTACCCATAGCAGTGCCGCTGATCTGAAGGTATACATTGTCCCCACATGTAAAATAGTTATGGGTAAGGACAAAGTCACAAAGTTCAGCCACCCACCTTGATTATCATACACATTGTAAGGAGGGTGGTCAGTTTGGATGAGCTATTACCAGCAGGAGAGTGAGTTTGTGTGTATGTGTTTTGGGGGGCAGTGGGGGTGGGTGGGTGAGAAAACCTGGATTTGTGCTGGAAATGGCCCACCTTGATTTTCATACACATTGTAAGGAGAGTGGTCACTTTGGATGGGCTATTACCAGCAGGAGAGTGAGTTTGTGTGGTGGGGGGCAAAGGGTGAGAAAACCTGGATTTGTGCTGGAAATGGCCCAACTTGATTATCCTACACATTGTAAGGAGAGTGATCACTTTAGATAAGCTATTCCCAGCAGGAGAGTGGGGTGGGAGGAGGTATTGTTTCATGGTCTCTGTGTATATAATGTCTTGTGTATTTTCCACAGTATGCATCCGATGAAGTGAGCTGTAGCTCACGAAAGCTTATGCTCAAATAAATTGGTTAGTCTCTAAGGTGCCACAAGTACTCCTTTTCTTTTTGCTAAAACAAAATGAATTCTGAATGACAGGAATACTAATAAAAGGAATCTGCCCACAGCTAGCCTTTTTGTTCTATTATATGTCACATTTCTGTATTAAGCCACTGTGCTAATTTCTTTCTGGAAAGGAGGGAACATCTCAAATATTATATTCTCATAGTCTGTCTGTAACGTGACAATAATAGAGAGACCAAAAAAAAAATCTGATTTAACTGAAGAGACACCAACCATTAACTGACTCTGCTCTCACAGCAGCTAAAGAGAAAACCCCAAGAGCAAGCTGAACACTAAAAAGGAAATTTTGAAACATCTCGTTAAATGAATACTTGTTTTATTTGCGTAAATCTTGATGTAGTCTCACTTAAACTTATCCTCTCCCTACAATATGGGCTCTAATCCTGCAACAATTTATACTCGAACTCAATGCTGAGCACTGTGAATCGTCCTACTGATCACAGGGCCCAAAATGACTGTGTTATATAAGGCAGCTCATACACAAGATGACACGTTTTATAAAAGTTCATTCTAGACATTGCTATGAACTTTAAATGACAATACACACATGCAAAGATAGCCACTCTATCCCCTCCTAAAAAACAAATTGATGTCGATGCTCTTATTTTATAAGGATAAGGATTATTTTGTACTATTCTGTCATAGCTATTCTGTCACCCTGTATGTATTGTCTCCGATAATCAAATATACAAATCTGAAGTAAACTTAATGTGAAGAAAGCTAAATAAAACTGTGCCTGATGCAGTTCTCTTAACTCAGCAGAATGGATACCCCACAACACCTTATGATCCGGTACTTCTGTTCCTGGCACTGCTTTCATATGAAAGTTCACAACTCCAGCTTCATTCAGTGATTCCAACAGATTTCCCTTGCCATCTGTATGTGGCTTTTCCTTCTTCAATCTTGCTTCTTGTCTCTCCTGTGCCAATCTGTATCAGGAGGTGCATGGTTTAAGCTTGCCACGACATAAAAGCAAAAATAAAAAAGTATCTGTGTGTAAAGCCATCATCAGCGATGGGTCTCTCTCACACTTCTGGACAACCATTCACTCTGAGCCAATGTGAAACATATCAAAGATACGTTTTGCCAATTCCCTTTAAAACCAGGAAACCAGGAACATGGCCTCCACCCAGCTAACTTTTTTATGACGATGAATATAGCAGGTATGATAAGCATGCTGCAAATGTACCAGCATGCTATCAGTTTCAATGAAAAATAAACAAACACTGAAAGCAGCTAATGGAGAACATATAAGAAAAGGGTAAGGGAAAACTGCAAAGTGGGCAAAATAACAAGTATAAAAAATTCAAAACACTGTAGTACCCAAACTATCTTCTTAGAAGTTATTTCTTTATTATTAAGTCTGTTAAAATCCCATTTACTTGGATTTGAAGTGAAAGCAATATCCAGTGGCTTTTGCAGATTCATTATAGGAGAGCATTCTTTAATTAGAGCCCTCTTATAAACAAGCTGTCAAAAAATTTACTCAATATAGTATTTGACAAATATAAAGGGAAAAACTCAGGACATGTACATTTAAAGTTGGTAGGATGAATTATTCAGACACTGGTTTGTATTTTGCACAATTCTAGCAAAATTATATATATATAGGGCCCTACCAATTTCACGGCCGTGAAAAAAGCATCACGGACCTTGAAATAATTGAAATAATTCTTTCCCCATGAAATCCGATGTACCCTTGTTCTTAGGAGAGCCCCAGCAAAGGGGGTTTCTAGCTCTTGCTGGGCACCGGAGGGACAGGACTTGTCCATCTCCTGCACAGCTGCTCAGGGAGGTGTGTGACACGTTATTGACATGAACTGTGACCGTATAGATCATTGTTGTAACCAATGTCCTATAGTCGCACCAAATCTTGTACAAAGGAGGTCAAGCAGGCGTCTATAGAAAGGTTGTAATTTGCTGGTTATGATTATGCTGTCTGTATTTGTGTATCATTTTTGTATTTGAAGTTATGAATATTGGCTATGTACTTGTATCTCAATGTGTTTGTTTCTAAGTAGCCTCAGTGAAGCATTTGGTCAGCTTCTTGAGAAAGGACTATTCTCAGTAAGTGTCCAATCAAGAAACACTTAAATGACAATGGACTTTGGAGTCCAGCTCTGAAGGCAGCACTGAAATGAGGGTGGCAATTCCATGACCCCGTCAAACAGTTTTGCGACACTCCCCCACCTCCCATTTTGGGTTGGGACCCCCACGGCTACAACGCTGTGAAATTTAAGATTTAAACATCTGAAATTGTGCAATTTACCAATTTTCAAATCCTATGGCCGTGAAATTGACCATAATGGACTGTGAATTTGGTAGGGCCTTATATATATATTTTGACATTATGTGGCAAAGTAGTTCAACAAGCAACAATATACATTTGTATATTAACATTACCTGTGCAAAAAGCTTTCTTTGGCCAATTCAATTTGTAGCGTTCCACCTTTCCACCTTGTTTTATTTAAAATGGACATACCTAGGAAACAAGCATTAGACAGAAAATGCTTATTACCCATGTATATAATATTTAAGTAATGTTTTTAATCATGTCGCTTTTTGCTATATTTTACATTTTGGAGCATTATGAGACTGATCCTGCCCCCAGTTAGACTACTTTGTTGATTACAGGTAGCAAATTTAGGGTCTAATATGGAAAACCAAAGACAAGATATTGTCAACATCCAAACCCTATTTTGACTAACAGTAAGTTAGCCAGTGATAAATAAACATTGAAACATTAGCAAAAACAACGAGGAGTCCTTGTGGCACCTTAGAGACTAACATTTATTTGGGCATAAGCTTTCGTGGGCTAAAACCCACTTCATCAGATGCATGGAGTAAAAAAAACACGGCTACCACTATGAAATTGAACGATTAAATAGCTCATTCCAAATAAGGACTGAAAAATTCAGATATATCTACATTCTTAGGTTCCCTCACCACTGTATCCAGTCCTTTCACACTATCTTCAAATAGAATTTACTTTTCTTCCCCTCCTTCCCAACAGATCCTACAAGCAGTGGCAGACACATTGGCAATATTGGGAGATGGAGATTGGGAGGGAAGTCCTTATTCCATGTAAAGAGAATAAGGGAAGCACAAAGTTTTAAGATGATTCTTAATTATGTTTAAACCAGATGGCCTATCCCTAAAAAGAAGATTTCCCTTATTCTTTTTCAAAGGTACGTTATCAACCCCATTCTTCCGGTGCAGATGACTGTGCTGAAATAATCTCAACTGGTTTACTGCAGATTACACAGGAGTTGCAGTTTTGTAATGTTCATATGACTACCAGAAAAGACTGAGAATCTGTATTTCCATTCTAAGAGGGTTAAAACTGACCTCCTTAAGGAAAATAAACTTTGCTTAAGCCAACGTTCTTTATTCCCTTTCATCTCAGTCAATTCTAATGTCATATACAAGTATCAATGTATCAAAGAGAAGAAAATATGTTTAAGATCATTTTCTAAACCTTTTCACTAAGGGGCTAACATATACACTCCACCCTCCGCCCCTAACCCACTAGGCTATTCTGATAGACCATTGCCTGCACCCCGTAACATAAAAATACAGATACTTCAATAAAATACATTATTTTGAAGAGCATCTTCCATAAACACTGATTCCTAAAATAACTGAGCTAAACAGAATTGAAGAATGAAATAGCAAATGAGAGGCGGAAATTAAGAGGTATAGATGAAGAGAAAAACCTATGTCCCTTACTTCAATGGGGGTCTGAGTAGGTTCAGGTATTTGTTACATCCTTAGTTTACAGGGATTAAAATAAACTGCAACAAATATCATTTGTGTACTTACATCTTTTAAGATCTGCTTCAGAAATGCTGATGTTGATGTAAGCAAAAGTTTTCATAGGGTTCCCTGGTCAATAATTAGAAACATTTGGTTACTTTTGTATATAAAATTGTAAGTTTTTGTTTTTAAAATTGAAAACGTGTTCTCTACAGATGGTTAAGGAAAAGTAGTAGTTTTGAAATGGACGTTATTTTCCATTACTAGTTGAAGTAAAGAACAGTTATACTTCTAAAGAGCAAAATGAAAATATTACCCTGTTCATCTTTCCTGATAACAATTTCCACATCTGTAACATTTCCAAACTTGCTGAATCTTTCCTGCAGTTCAGCCTCAGAAACTGTATAGCCAAGTCCTCCAACATATAAACGTTTTAAAACTTGTTTTTTCTCCATATTAAAAAGTCAGACTGTCTCATTTAGGATGTATGTTTTATCTTTCTGTAAAAAAGGCAACAAAAAAAAATCAGTATAAATGGTTTTTGTGGTTCTTGGGTGAACTGCACCTGTGATCTCTTTCTCAGTCAGTTGGTGGGCACTTCCAAGTGATGGACCTAAACTTGCACTTCTCTCACCAACCATATTAACTCAACAGGTCCAACAGGACTTGGTCCCTGCTATGAAATCTTCTCTGGGAACTGTGACCCAGCTTATTCAGAACAGAATATGATTTATTCAACAAACGGAATATATCAAGCAGAGAAAAGGAGGTTAAAATAACAAGAGTGCACTACAAGGGCTTCTGATGATCCCAATGGTAAATTGATCTAGGAGCATTTGCTGGATCATAAGGTTTAACACTAGGAACTCAGTATAAGCCCTGGTCTACACTACAGGGTCAGATCGAATTTAGCCGCGTTAGGTCGATTTAAAAATGACTGCATCCACACAACTAACCCCATTTTGTCGACCTAAAGGGCTCTTAAAATCGACTTCTGTACTTCCCTCCCCGACGAGGAGAGTAGCGCTAAAATCGACCTTGCTGGGTCGAATTTGGGGTAATGTGGATGCAAATCGATGGTACTGGCCTCCAGAAGCTTTCCCAGAGTGCTCCATTGTGACCGCTCTGGACAGCACTTTGAACGCCGATGCACTAGCCAGGTACACAGGAAAAGCCCTAGGAACTTTTGAATTTCATTTCCTGTTTGGTCAGCGTGGCGAACTCAGCAGCACTCAGCAGCACAGGTGACCATGCAGTCCCCCCAGAATCGTAGAGCTTAGAAAATGTTTCTACGCTCCCCCATCATATCCATCCCTGATGTTAACGCAGATTAGGAGGCGAAAAAACGCACTTGCGATGACGTTTTCCAAGCTCATGCAGTCCACCCGCACTGATAGGGCACAGCTGAATGCACGGAGGCATTCAGTGGCAGAGGCCAGGGAAGAATTAAGTGAGCGCAAAGAGCGGAGGCAGGATGTGATGTTGAGGCTAATGAGGGAGCAAACAGACATGATGAAGCATCTGCTGGAGCTGCAGAAAAGCCAACAAGAGCATAGACCCCCGCTGCATCCACTGTATAACCACCTACCCTCCTCTAGTGAGCTGTGGCTCACGAAAGCTCATGCTCAAATAAATTGGTTAGTCTCTAAGGTGCCACAAGTACTCCTTTCCTCCTCACCCAGACGCCCAAGAACGCGGGGTGGGGGAAGGCTCTGAGCACCCAGCCACTCCACTCCAGAGGATGGCCCAAACAACAGAAGGCTGCCATTCAAACAGTTTTGATTTGTAGTGTGGCTACAATAAGCAACGTGGCCTTGTCCTTCCCTCCTCCCCTACCCCACCCGAGCTACCTTGTCCTTTATCTCATTTTTTTAAAAATTAATAAAGAAAGAATGCATGGTTTCAAAACAATAGTTACTTTATTTCGAAGGGGGGAGGATGATTGGCTTACAGGGAATTAAAATCAACAAAGGGGGTGGGTTTGCATCAAGGAGAAACACACACAACTGTCACAGCGAAGCTTGGCCTTTCATGAAACTGGTTTTCAAAGCCTCTCTGATGCACTGCATGCCTTGCTGTGCTCTTCTAATCGCCCTGGTGTCTGGCTGCTCAAAATCGGATGCCAGGCAATTTGCCTCAACCTCCCACCCCGCCATAAATGTCTCCCCCTTAGTCTCACAGATATTATGGAGCACACAGCAAGCTGCACTAACAATGGAAATGTTGGTTGCGCTGAGATCTGACCTAGTCAGCAAACAGCGCCAGCGAGTTTTTAAACCTCCAAAGGCACATTCTACCCTCATTCTGCACTTGCTCAGACTATAGTTGGACTGCTCCTTACTACAGTCCAGGCTTCATGAGCCATGAGAGCAAGGGGTATGCTGGAGTAGGTGTGACCGCGCGGTGCTGCCGGCTGGGGAGAGCAGCCTGAGGCAGAAGCCTCCAGCTCGCATGATAGTCCAGGTAGGACTGAATCTCCAAGTGGGCCCCATCCTTGCCGTGGTATGGCGTCTGCACGGGTAACCCAGGAAAAAAAAGGCGCAAAACAATTGTCTGCTGTTGCTTTCTCGGAGGGAGGGGCAACTGACAACATGTACCCAAAACCACCCATGACAATGTTTTTGCCCCATCAGGCATTGGGAGCTTAACCCAGAATTCCAATGGGCAGCGGAGACTGCGGGAACGGTGGGATAGCTACCCACAGTGCACTGCGTCTTAAGTCGATGCTAGCCATGGTAGTGAGGACACACTCCGGCGACTTAATGCGCTTAGTGGGGACACACATAATCGACTGTATAAAATCAATTTTTAAAAATCGACTTTTATAAAATTGACCTAATTTCATAGTGTAGACATACCCTAAGTGACCAAGAAAACCTACAGTTGATAATACTATACATTCTTCTGACATATCAGTCCTAAGCAGACTGTATGTGTAAGAGTTGTTTTTGACAAACATACCATAATTAATCAGGTGCTCAATTTGCCCCACCTGTTCGTTTTAAACATTTTATAGAACGTTTAATAAGTTTAAAGACACAGAAAGCACTCCTCTTTGTTCCTTTTGTGGGAAAAAGCCAAATATTTTTATAACACAAAGGAAAATAGCTTAAGTATCTTACATTATTGTTCTAATTAACAGCTAAAATTACCATAACTGAAAAACATGAGAAGAAAAGTCTCTTTCCAGTTTGTTTAAATTGTGCATTTGACAGCACTCTGTATGATAAATCAGTCAATTCCATCATTTGTGTCTGGGTCTTTCACAGAACAGTGGAGAGATGTGAAAGAATAGTAAATGTGAAAGAATAGTAAAATGTAACTGGAAAACAAAACAAACAAAACCCACCATCAGAAGCCTCCGGGCAGAAGCAATATCTGAATTACTTTTAATTCTCTTGAAAAAGGCTAGATATCAGATTAATATAGCAAACCAATTACCCGATTATATTAGATGACTTTGCTATGAATTTATTAGCGCTAGAATAACTAAAATTAGCCTCTAAATCCATATTTAGCCACCTAAATGAAAGTAAGCTGATTTTCACACATGCTGGGCACTTATGGATAACTCCATGTTAGTTACAACAGTATTTGTGGGTACTCAACATCTCTGAAAATAAGGCCACTTGTATTTAAGTGCCTAAATATAAGCATATTGGATGAGATACTGGTCCATCTAGACCCAACTCCTCTGATAGTGGCCAGCAGCAGATGCTTCAAAGAAGGTGCAAGAAACCCTGGCAAGAGTAATTATTGATTATTGAATAACATGCCCATTGGAGAAGTTTCTTTCTACAACCCTTGGTTAGAGAACGGTGCTCTTAACAGTTAATGTTCCTGCCAAACACTAAACTTAAAAAACTCCACACTCATATAGGGGAGGATAGTCTCATTGTCACTAGAAATATCCTATTACTTTTTTTCAACACACTGGAGAAATGTCCAGTCCTGTAACTTATTTCGAAGAGTCTGCTAGGCTAATAATGCACCAAATAAAAAACTTTTCCTTTAATCAGTTTTTAGATTTGCTGCCATTCAATGTTATGGAATGTCCATTATATTCAGAACGCTCAGGGTTGACACATAGGGCCACTAATACAAACTGTGTTTTTTATCATTAGTGTCAGAAAAAAACAGGTACGTGTGAGAGAAAACTACACATCTATCCAAACATCAGAGGTAACACAACCTTCAGTTGTACGAGTTTCGCCGAATTACCTTCACTACATTGTGCCAACTTTGAACTGGAAAAAAAAACAGTCTGGGAATGGGGGGGGGGGGGCACGGCTCGGGCCCCCACAGCCCGGGAATGAGGAGGGTGGGGAGCGCCGGGGGGAAAGACAGAGACAGGGGCCATCCATAGCCCCGGGACGGAACAAGCCCGCCAGGCCCCTTTCGGTCTCGGTGGCTTCTCTACCGGGACTTCTCTCCACAGAGCCTCCCAACGCGGGCCCCAGACTCCTGACCAGGTCACCGCAGCAGCCTTGACCTCCGAGCTAGAGGTTCAGCCACCCGCCGAGGAGATCTCCCAGATTACACTGATCCTGGGCGGATACACAACGGGTTCACATACCGCACGTGTCAGCCAGGAAACACAGCGACTTCTTCCTCACGCACACGCGTTTCCTGAGTGCTGCTCTATTCACGCCCCCTCCCGCTTCCGGGACACACTGGAAAACAGGGTTCCTAGAGCCCCCACCACTTCCGTCAAAACCCCATTCGCATACGGCAACCGCCAGCGGCTCACTGTTCCCGACCGGCCGGGTATAGTTGGTACACATCTCTGGCTCGCGCAGGCCGTGCTTGGGCTCATCCACAGGGACCAGAACGCGGGGGTATCGCTCAGGCCAGCGCCCGGAAAACAAACAAAAACTAACTAACTAAGCAACTAACCAACCAACGAAGGCCGGGGCTCGTTGCCCGGAGGCTCGGCGTTAGAGTCGAGTGGGGCATGTGATTGGCGCCCTGGCCGGCTGTGTGCGTGTGGCCTGGGAAAAGTGACCTGGGCTGCTCCGGTGGTATCGCCCGCAGGGCAGCGGCGGGCGTTGGTTTGGGCGGGCGGTTCGAAGCGTCGGCTCCAGAGCGCAGGCAGCGCGGATTCCGCGGCCTGAAGGGACAAGACAGCCGGTGAGGCTCAGCCCCCTGTGGTGCTGTCATCACGCTCCCTGCCGGTGGGAGTCAAGTCTTGCCCTCTGTCCTCTCAGGGGGAGGCTGGGGTGGGGGAAGGTTTGTTCAACTGGGGCTGAAGCGGTGAATTTGTCGTGAAAGAGGCGCTAGGGCTGCAGCAATTCGGTGTCTGGCGCTCAAGCAATTTTTTTTTTATATTCATAACTGATGCAGCAAGCCCAGAGGTGCTGGGGCGATGAACTGCCAAGCCCAGAGGTGCTGGGGGCTCTGCCCAGGCAAGCGCTGACACAGATTAACCACTGGATAGCAGGGTACTTAACAGTTGGTTCCTCCCTCACTCAATGAGGAATCTTACAGTTCGTGGAGGGCTCTGCCTCCTCCTTTCTGATCATATTGGGTTCCTGGTGCCTGAGTGGGAAGCAGCGTCTGATCAGCAAGGGACAGACCTGAAGCCTTCTCTGTCCCACTATCAGGAGCCAAGTGCAGTGGTCGGAAGAAGGGTCTGCTGCCAGAGGGAGCTGGCCCCCTTTCTCCTCCTTGGAGCCTGGTCTGTCTGCCTGAAAACAAGCAACCAATGCAAAATGTCTGTGGGATTTCCCCGAGACTCGGGCCTGCATCCTCCTCACCCCTAGCCATTTGTGGTTTTGGCTCCCAGGGCTGGGAGCTAGGCACTTATATATTTTCTTTTGGGTTTATGAGTTAAGAGACTCCTGTCTTTGATTATCTGTATCTGATAGTTATTTGAATATATAGTAGATAAACATCAAAAAGAAAAATGACCTGTCTGGGTGCTGTGTATTCTAAGAGCAATATTTTTAAACTTCAACATTACAAATCATTTCGAGTAAAACACTCGAAAATCAGTTATCTTATTTCCTACAAAATTTTGAGTGGTAGGCTATTCTGTGATCAGACCCCTTGAAATTGTGCGGGGAGGACAGTGTAGGTGTTAGAGAGCAAACACTTAACTTCAGGAATTTGTATCAGATGGTATATGAAAGACAAATATTTAGACTTCATAAACGTACATGCTGCTAGTGATTTGGAAACTTAAGCATTTAAAAAATTGTGGTTAGTTTTCTTAAAATAAATATGTACATTGTGTTTTATTCTCATTTTGAGTCTTCTGTTTTGAAGATGTGCTCACATAGTGCTCACACATCCAAAGTGCATACTTATATCTGAAATACATTGTGTGCTGTACACTAATAGAGAAAATCTTTCTTTTTAAACATAAGCAGAGAACATACACATCTGTTTCTGGAAAATGTAAACATTAAACTGTTTTGTTGTATTCTCAAATATGATGTGCCCAGTTTATTTCTGGTGTGCAACTACATTAACATCAGAATTAATTCACCCAGTGTGTGTGTTACCTCTGCTGACCTTGCAGCCCTTATGAGAAACAAACACAGCTTGGCAGGCAACAGAAATGTTTTGGTTTAGAGAGTGTTGTGCTGTGTTTAGGAAACAAACTGTTGGTAAACAGCGCTATTAATATAGATTCAGTACAAACAGAAACATATGTAGACAACAAAGGACTAGGTTTGAAAGAACACAATTGAGATAAAACAATTAAAAATTCCAATAAAAATAAAATTCACAATTTTTATCCATATTGAGTTTTGTAATTGCTACAACTATCTTTCAAATTTATAAATCCTGAATTTGGTGCGTAAGAAGCTGGCGAAATCTTCAGTTTTTCCAGAAATTAAACTGCTTTTGTATGTGGACACTTCCATTGTATCTTTGTTGCCTGCTGCTGATTTGATGGACAAGCTATTTTAAGAGTCAAATACTGAAGTAGTTTCTTCAGTTCAGAGACTACTTAGAGCTGTGAACTGTTCACATCTCAACATTGTTGCCATATTTGATGTAGGTCTTCTATCAGTTGTTACTGCTGATTTAAATATTTTGCCACAGTATAGCAACTTAATGTGCTTAACCACCCACTCCCTTCCCTACCATTGGGGTGAAATCTTGGATCTGTTGAAGTCAATCACAAAACTTCAGTTGACTTCAGTAGACCCAGGATTACACCTCTGGATTTGGAACCTACCATGAAATCTGTGTATTTAAATGAGACCAGTATTAAATTCAGTGGAAATTAAAAGGGTCATAGGGAATTACCAATTATTTCCTACAGGGTTGTGTATTTGTTGCATTAGGTTTTATTATACCCTTTCACGAAAAATCCTGTATGAGGAAAGAACACACAAGTTAGAACCTTCATCAGGTTGTCGTCTCTTCCACTCACTTCTTGCTCTGTGTTAGCTCAACTCATAGGGTGGCATAAGAGTTGGAAGCTGTTGTACGGGAATTTATTATGCTTTCAGCAGGATTAACTGCCATCTGTTGTTTTTTTTTTTTTTTTGCTTATAAAACAAACACCTAATGACAGCATGCAGCCTAGAAGGAGCAGACATTATGCTTTGATGTGTCCCTAATTGTAGAATGTTCCAATCCCCAATCTTAGAGTGATTCCAAGAGGGGTTTCTGTGGAGTCTTAGGGGACTCAGTTTGTTCCCATTTCTGATAGCACCATAGATTTTTTTCCACTTAAGTATGGGCCTGATCCTGTGCCTGTTGAAGTCAATGGCAAAACTCCCACTGATTTCAGTTATGCAAGACTCAACTCATTTGCTTTCCTTTAAACCTCATAGTAGAGGGGAACATATGGCTCAGTATCTACAATTCCTTTGATTTTAATATTATTCTGTAGCTAGTTTAACATTAAAGTTTGTCAAATATGTATTTGTTAGTCAAAAACACTCGTATCTAAAATATTTAGTTTTCAGAATTGGTAAGCTGTGTGAGCTGACTCATGTAATCTTTTTAAAAAGGGGAGAGAGAAACTTTAATATTGTAGTGCTATATATTTCATAGTTTTTGAATCAATAAATAGGATCAAACATTAATTGTGTTAAAATGAATATACTTATTTACAAAATTTTGTATCATTTTAGTAACATTGAATCTGAGAAATGGAGAGTGACATTTATCAAGTTTATGAAGATGAAATTCATTCTTTGGAAGAAGAAATTGAAATGTTAACTCAAAAGTTTGAAAACAAACAAGAATCTACATTTTATTCTGATGAAGAGATACAAATATCAATGTATGTATTTTATATGTTCAGATTAATTTTGGTTTTTGAATGTGTGTTCAGCATTGTTCTTGTCCACCCTCATTCATGCTGTTTCATAAAGTAAACATTTTAGCAATAAAAGAATCAGAAGTATTGAGAAATGCACTTGGTAGTTTAGTGGTGGCTGAAGTGTAGCCTTCAGAAGTTTGCAGTGTGACCTGTGGCTGCCTTCTTTAATATGGAGGTACAACCTGTGGAGTTCACAGATTCTATCATGCACTGCTCTGTGCCTACTCTCTGTTGCATGCTGCACCTCTGTATTAAAAATGAGGATAGCAGTGATTTGCTATATTAAATTTTATGTTGGGATCCTGACAAGTTGCTAATTTTTTGACTCTGATTTAAATCTATAATTACAAAGTAAAATAACCTTCTTGAAGCAAATGGGGTTTTTTTGATTATCCTAACTGGAAAGATGCAGATAAGCTGCCAAAACTCATTTTACTGAATGCTCCTGTGTCAATGTGAGAGCTTTCCATAACCACTAGCCTGTTGGTACATGGCAGGGAACATAAAGTATTTACATGGAATAGAACTTACATGAGTAGTGCCACTGAATTCAAAGTATAACTGAAAACATAAGACATTTCTGAACCACCTTCATAGATCTACATGTTAGAGCAACTCTTTTTAAAAGGTTTCTCTGTGCCCTGGTGATTGCTAATGGATCTTTTCAATTCTAGAAAATCACTCCAAGGAGAATCTAAACTACATGAATCTCCACCAGATCTGAAAGCTGAACTGGATTGTTTAGAATCTGACCTCTCTTTTTTAATGAAATTTACTGGCATTTGGTTCACAAATTACTCCAAGGAAACAGTGGAAAAAAGTAAGCATTTGGTTGCCTATTAGTAACATTGCAAGCATTTTGTCACAGTTTGTTTGCAGTTGCAGATTATAATTCAGCATTCAACATTTGCAGAAAAACTTGTGCTCTGAAATGATAAAACACTAGCACAGTAATTGCTGGTAAATGGAATTCTGTGATGTTTATACATACTGCCAAATGATTCTTGGTTTTACACTCAATGGTATTAAAAGGTTATAACAGAAGACAGAATGTTGCCAATATATCTATCGCTGGAGATACACTGAAGATCTAATTTGACTTTCTAATCCATTTGGTAGGAAAGTTTTTCACTTACATGGTTAATTGCATGATTTATATTGTGTATAACATACATTGCCCACTCTTCAAGTTTATAGCTTAATATTGTTTTTGCTAATGGGGAGACAGAATAATTATTGAATGTGATCAGAAATCTAAAATATTTTAACCTACTTTATAGCTGGAAACAAAACTATACAGAAGCACAGATTGTCAGGAAATTGCTATTCACTGCCTTTTCAGATGGAATTTCATCTTCTAGAAATACAGGTAATGACA